ACTGAATTAAGTACAGGTTGAAATTGTGGCTTTTAGACATAACATCACAAGAAAAGTTTATACTCCATAGTGTAAGAAATCTTCCTCAAACTCCAAAGGACAAGCACCTCCAAATCAGTGAGCCAGGCACACAGCATTTGTTCCTGTCTCCTGGCACACAGCTCAATGCTACAGCCACGTGGCCCAAACAAGACCTCAAGGAGCTTAAGCCAATGGTACTAGTGACACAACTCTAATGTGCAGACAGGACAGCCCCACAGGGAGTGCCCTGGGTCAGAGCCTCGGAAGCAGAGAAAGGAAACAGCACAGCTCAGATGATATTATGTTCCTGCTTTAAACCCTTAGTGGCCCCCGCCGCCTGCTGTGCGACACTCAGAATCCTCACTTGGACTTCCAAAGACACTTACGATAGGCTTCCAATCTATTTGCCCTCTTTACGGGCTGGCTCCCTGCATGTACACCATGTTCTGGGCTTCCTGGTGGCTCAGATGGTAAAGAATCTGCCCACAATGCAGGAGACCCAGGTTCGATCCCTGGGTTGGGACAAACCCCTGGAGAATGGAATGGCTACCCACTCCAGTATTCGTGCCTGGAAAACTCCATGGACAGAGAAGCCTGTCAGGCTTCAGTCCAAGGGGTCACAAAGAGTCAGACATGACTGAACAACTAACATTTTCACTTTTCATACCATGTTCCAGAAGATCTAGACTGTTCTCTCTCCCTGAATGGTCCAAACATGTCACCAACTCCTTATCCCTGCACAAAACGCCTCTTTCAAGATGCTCTAACCATTCCCTCCCTCAGATCCCATCCTCAGGGCCATCTCTTTCCTGAGTTTTCTAACAACCTCCTAGACTGCCTCCAAATGGAAGTGGCCTGAACTGCCATGACACTCTTACACTTCTGTAACCATCCATGGTAGTTATTTTCTAAGTTGTGCAGCAGTAATTTGGAATCTTTTTTCTTGCTGTCCATCAGCCTTACTGAGTACCTTCTATGGATGAGATGCCATGCTGGGTGCCCGGGACATGAAAATAGATAGAGTCAAAGTTCTTCCCTTCAGTGGGCTTATGGTCTCATGGATGAGACAACACCATGACAAAGGGTTACACTTAGCTCAGGGGAGAAATGAAATGTGAAAGAGATAACGGCATTTAAAGTTGGGTCTTAAAGAGAAATGTGTTCATTGGGCAAAAAATACAGAGGAAGGAATGGTTCTTCAAGGTAAAAAGAACATTATATACAACGGTGCTTGGCACAGGGTGGGAGACAAGTGCTCAGTGTTTACTGAATGAATAAAACAAGTGGGGAAGGTAATAGATTGGTTAGTCCCCCTCCTCACTACTGTCTATGTTTACTGAGTGCGTCCATCACAACAACCCCAGAAATTAGGTAGCATCATCCTCATTTTATGGATGAGGAAACTGAGGCTTCTAAGACCCAAAGCTGCAAAGCTATCAAGCAGCAGAACTTGGCCACTGTTCCTAATAATATGTTGCTGTTGTTTAGCTGTTTAGTCATGTCTGACTCTTTTACAACCCTAGGGACTGCAGCCTGCCAAGCTCCTCAGACCTTGGGATTGTCCAGGCAAGAATACTGGAGTGGGTTGCCATTTTCTTCTCCAGGGGATCTTTCTGATCCAGGGATTGAACCTGTGTCTATTGCACTGGCAGGCAGATTCTTTACCACTGAGCCACCAGGGAAGCCCTCCTGATAATACAAGGATGCACTAATGAGTTTGCCTTCAAGAACCTAAATACAAAGCAAACTTTGAGCTTTCTTCCTCTAAGCCTGGGTGGACCACTCCAGGCAGTGATCAAATACCCAAATACCATCTCTGGGAACACACACTGAGAAAGAAGAAAGAAGCAGCCAAAGAAGCCATGCTCCATGCAGACTCTGGGCACAGCGAGGTCCTGTGTCTCCCCATGAACCTGGTATTAGTCCTCTCACAGTACATGATGTTAGTGGTCCCAACTGCGGGCACTTTTTCCTTAATATACAAATGACAACCTGGAAAGAGCCATCCAAAGGTCCCCTCAGGCCAACTCAGGCTCATTAAAGCTCTCTTAGGGCTCTAAGAATTGAATTGACCCTCCAGCTTTCTAGGACAAAGCATTTCATTTTCCATGGAGTTCTTTCCCTCCCTTTTCTTCATCTGATCATTTTCTCAATTTCTCCCATTCCAGTTCAGGCTTTTTCTGTCACTCTTGTATTGGGCACAAGCTTTTTTTCTTTTTTTTTGTGCCTAGCTGAGACTATTATATCTTGCTATTGTCATGTTCCTTTTCCATTGAAAGCAATCAAAAATGAAAATCCACATTTCAGAGCAGTGTCTATTAAACAGGCACCTTTTATACGGTTAGGTGAAAAAAAAAAAAAAAAACAGCACTGAGTTTTAGCACAGAGTTTCATCTCTGTGTACCACTGAAAGATTAGATACCTGGGTGAGACTTCCCCTCTTTCACAGGTCATTTGTATTTGGGTATTGGATAGAGGTGGCAGAAAATCCAGAGTTATCTTAATCCAATTTATCTTAATGAATGCTTTAGTCTAAAGCATTGCTAATCAAAGTGTGGCTCAGCTGGTAAAGAATCCATCTGCAATGCAGGAGGGCTGGGTTCAATCCCTGGGTTGGGAAGATCCCCTGGAGAAGGGAAAGGCTACCCACTCCAGTATTCCGGCCTGGAGAATTCCATGGATCAAAGTGTAGTCCTGGGACCCGCAGTGACTGCATCACATGTGAGCTTGTTGGAAATGGAGACTCTCAGGCCCACTCCAGACCAGCTGAACTAGAATCCGCCTTTTCACAAGATCCTAGGTGATTTGTATGCACGTGAGAACTTTAGAAGCACTGGTCTGGAATTAAGATGATTTTAATTTAATAAAACCCTCCTGGACCCTCCACGTGGATTTCTTTCCTAAGAAACAAATCTCTGTATAGTGAACTCCACAAAACATCATCCACCACCTTTCTCCACCCAAACTGTTTATTCATGGAAGAATTTTGAAATGATAAATCATCTTCCAGAAATCACACTCTCAGCCTGAGGGGAGTTCCAAATGATGCAAAGCTGATGGTCAGCCTTTCTGCAGCATGTGAGAACTAAGAAGGGAGAGGTGACAGGCGACCCTCCTCCCATCTTCTTTGAAGCACTGGATCTTTTTGCGGACATCTTCACCTCTCAGAAAAGAGGAGTGAAAGACGTGTTGTACAGTCACATGGGTGATCAATGTGGGAGACTAGGGAGGCTGTGCTGTGTCCAGAGATCTGAGATCCTTGAGCGGGGGTGCTCTGTAAACACAAACGGCAAAACCAAGGGCCAGCCTTCAAATTCAGAAAGTGTGTCCAAGCACACTTCCAATAACAACAGTCAAGAGACAGGTAGATGAACCCTCACTAACCTGTCATCTAGATCCGAGAAAGGGATGGAGAAAATGGAGAATCAGGTGCCCCTGAGAAATGACGAGCCAGAACTGGAGGCAAGAAGAGAAAAGAGGGGCGGTAATGACCCAGCCCTGCTCAAGGGTGTCCTGCCCACCTGGTCCTACTCACCCTCCAAGTGGATCGAAAGCCCACGGCAGGAGAGGCTGTCACCAGAGCCCAAGCAGCCATACAGGTGTTGGCCTAGCATCCCTGTTGATTTTGTCCTCTATAAAGAGGACATCTGCCTCAGAGACATTTCTATTTTATAAAAACAAAACAAAAAAAGACCACCCAAAAAGTTACCTCTTGTTGAAAAATCAAAACCCAAACATAACCAGCTCCCATATCTAAAGCATCTTCTCACTAATTCCCATAGACAGGCACATCACAAGAAGCTCCTTTAGACTCCGGACATCTTTCAGACCTCTAAGTGCAGCACCTGAGTTATTGATTATTCCGTGTTAAAGCCCAACTTGGTACTCCCCTCCCCCACTTCTGCTAATTTTTCACTCCTTATTTCCATCTTAACCTTTGAATTCTCTAAAACAGCAATATTTTAAAACACTAAAAGGGTTTATTTACATCATTCAATACCTGCTTTTCCAGCAATTATGATTTATTTATGTACTAATGTTTGTCAGCTCCAGACACACGATTCTGCCCTTTTAACATGCCCACATCACCAAGCTCTCACACTGAATCTGGAACGGACAGCAATGAGCAATGGAGGCAGAAAGACTCTAAGGCTCTGAAATTCAGACAGGAAAGGCATGAGTCTTCCTCTACCACAGCCAAAAGAGAGCCCTGTCCCCCAGAGCCAAGTATGTTAGAGATTAAGCACCTATGGGGACTGAGGCTCTGAATCTGATTTCAGCTAACTTCCACTTCACAGAAAAGCACTCGGCTTTACTTCCCCCGTAAGTCGGACTGAATGAACCAAGCAATCCTCCAGAAACACCTCTGAAGGAAGACCTCTGCATCCCCTCCCCACCGCCAGCGCGCACGGGCATGCCAGAACAGTCCACCTCCCAAGGCGAGAGAAAGTTAACTTTCAAATAAACCTGTCCTGCAGCCAGTCTGGCCACGTTTCCAGACCCGTCACATTCACAAAGGTGGTTCTTTGCAACTCTCGCCTAAATCCAGAAGCTGAAACCTGACCTCTGCCTCCCGAGGGCACAAAGGTCCACAAACTTTACTCCTTTACCACAAAGGCACCACTTTCTCTCTCTTCCTCTCTCTCAGCTTCTCTTTGGTCAAAGTGAAAATAATGGGCCCAGGCTTATTGTCTTTCCTTCGGAGAAGCCAGGCTGGTTGGCTAGTGGGAAGCTCCAGACAGAATGTGGGTGTGTGAATCTGTGCAGGCTCCACAGAGGAATTTTCTGGGAACTCCAGGGGTTTTGAACGAAGAAGGGTGGTCTCGGGCTGGGACACAGGGGCTCCTCAGGTTCTCCGGTACCCCAGAAGTCTGGGGGGTTGGGGGAAGGTGGGGACTGGAGGGGCCAGGGCTGTGCTGCCAGCCAGGCTCCCCCACCGTGCCATCCCAGGCCCTCCCGGCCACCGCGGGGTCACTCACCGCCCGTGAGCTGTGCGGGGCCGAAGCACAGCGCCAGCTGAAACCACAGGATCACGGCCAAGAGTCTCTGGGGGGACTGAGGCTGCTGCTGCTGCTCTAAAAATCCATCTCCATTGCTCGGGTTCATTCCATGATACATCTTTCATCCACAGAGGGCATCCGGCTTGCAAGAGTCTGCAACCAGGAGCGAACACGACAATACCCCAGGCTGCCGGGGCTCGGGGGCCACGCTCCCCCCGCCTCCTCTCCGCCCTGGGACCCGGAGCCTCGGTTTCCCCGGCTCCATCCCCGTTCCTCCCCCGCGCGGGCCCCCGCCCCCTTTCCCACGGCGAGATTTCCCCCCCAACACACACACCCAGCGCGGGGTACACTGAGTAACAGCCGCCGCGGGATGCTGCGCGTGCAGTAGGGATGGAGGAGGGGAGGGAGGGCAGGGGTTAGCGCACATTGGCTCCGCGCCGGTCCCCGGGATTCAGCGGCTGTGGCCGCCACAGGAAAGTCTAAAGCCTTTCAGCCTCTGGAGGCTGAAAAAACACTTTTCCCTGGGCCTGTACATTTCACTCTTAGGGATCTCACGATGTGGCCACCGGATCCCCCCAGCTACTTCTCTGGTTTTCCCCAGGATCGGGATGGGTCCTATTGCCCAGTCCCCAGTGAGATTTCTCTGCGCTGTCAGAAAAAAAAAAAAAAAAATCCTCCCTCGGGGAGCGGAACCAGGCACCAACTCCCCCTCCTCGGCCTGCGCGCGCCTCCCCGGGATGGAAAGCCCCTTCCAGGGCTCTCGGTCTTACCTGTGGGTCTCATGCATGCAGCTTCCTTCCCTCCTCCTCCTCCCCCCGCCAGTCTAACCCGCATCTGTGCGCGACCTCTGCTGCCGCCGCTGCGCGAGCGAGAGAGACGGAAGCCTCGGCGGCGGCGGCGGCGGCGGCGGCGGCGGCGCCCGGCTCCAGCTCCCCCCGCCCGCGCTCTCCCTCCCCAGGCTCCGGGAGCGGACGGGTGCGGGGGTTGGGGGCGGGGGGGGTCGGAAGGATGGCAGCCCGGCCGCGCGCCCGCTACCTGAGCTCGCGAGCGCGCGGCGGCGGCGCGGAAAGAGGGAGGTGGCGGGGGCGGGGCGGAGGCGCGCAGCCGGGGCACGCACGCGGGCACGCGCCTCGCAGACCCAGCCGGCGCCGCGACTGGGGAAGGGGCCTCGCGAGCGCCGGGAGGGGGAGGGGGCCCGCCGTCGCCGCTGCCGCGACCAATGGGAAGCCCGCGCGCCTGCACCTGTCGGGACGCCAGGCGCCTGGCGGATGGTTCCCACACGCCTAAGGCCGGGTCGCCCCTTCGCTGGCGCAGGACCACGGCGGTCCCCGCCTGTGCTGCGCGCGAGCCCGGGTGGCCGCCGCGGCCTCCGCGCGTCCTCCCGTGCCCCCAGCGCGCCGCATGGCGCGGGAGAGCGCCCCGCTTTAGGCTCCTGCCGCGGCGATGGCTCCGATCCGTGGGACAAGAGTGCGCAGCTCGGCCGGTCCCCACCCCAGGACCCTCACCACCGACCGGGTTCACATGGGCAGGGAGGGGAGGTGGCTTGTTGCCAAAGTCTCTTCTTTTCCAGCGTTTAGCTCGTCCCACCCCTCCCACTCGCCCCCAACCCCGTCCCACTAAGTCTCTGCGTGTCGCCTCGGAGCCCGAATGACACTCTTCTCCCTCCCTGGCTCCCTGGTTATTTGCCCTTTTGCGAGCCGCAGGCGTAGGGCGCGAGGACTCTTAGCCTGTCTTGGAGATGCGCTGGCCCCTCGGAACCTCCGCCGGGCGCGCAGAAGGTTGAGTACGGAGGAGGGGGCGAGTGGGGGGGGGGGGAGGCTTCGGGGGCCGTGGATCGGAACCCAAAGGGGTCGAGGGTGTTTGCCCTCCCAGCCCGCGGTGGAGAGAGTTCGCCTCGTGGGTGCTGTCTCTGTGCGGGTTTCGGTGCCCGAGCCCACCCGGCAGCTGGGGGCGACTCACTCCCCACTGGTTCTGACCGCCCGCTATCCCTGCGCGAGACTGGTCTTTCTCAGCCTGCCTGGCCCCGAGGCCGACGTTCCGGCCATGGTAGTTAAGGGGTGTGAGCTAATGAGATGGTGCGGGGAGGCAGCACTTTAGTACCAGCGGCACCCCATTATTCTGTAGCAATTTGTGGATAGGAAAACCGTGTTTCGGATACCTCTACCAAATTTCATCCTTTGCTTCTATCGGCTTTCTCCAAATCTCACATACTGTTGGTAGTTGAGAAATGACAGCTTTCACTCTGTTGACTCTTTACTGGGAGTCATTTTAACAAATTCTTTCAGGATAGATTAACTTTTAGTAGATAAATCAAACTCTGGTTTGTTTGTTTTTTCTTTATTTTTGCTTTGTAAAACTGAGACAGCCACTTTGCACAGATTAAGGTTTTCACGAGCACAAGTGGATTTCTGCTCAAGCTTGTGGTTTGGGGCTCCAAAATCTTAGTTGTGTACCCAGTGCTTCCAAGGTCCTATGGTTGAGCTCTAGAGTCTGAATATTTGTTTTTCTCAGTAAATTTTCTAAAGCTTTCTAATAAGCCATCAAATAAACGAAGGTCAAACACATTTGTTGACCAAGGGCTTGTCCTTACAATCATAAGAGATATGTCCAAGCACTATTGAGATCTGTTCTTCACCTGGTAAGTACAATCGTTTTGTACACAGAATATCAGGATTGAAAGAAACATCCAACTGTATCTGGTACAATCGCAGGACCTATGCTTGAGTCCTCTCCCTGACGTTTCTACTAAGTGCTCCCCTAGCCTCATGGAATGCTTGAGGAAGCCTGTTATGTTTGCCCACAGCTCTCTTAGAAAAGCCCTGTTTGTACTGAACTGAAACCTTCCTGCCTGACACTTTTACACACCGGTTCTAGCTCTCCCACCTGATTCCACACAGCTAAATGGAGTTCCTCTTCCTTAAGACAGTGCTTTATCCATTTGGAAATGGCTTTATGTCCCCTTGAATCTTCCCTTCTCCAGGTTTAAACTTAGCTACTTTGCAAAGTGTGACCAGTTCCTGGAGAAAGTAAACTAGAGCCCAGCCCCCATACCCCACCACCTCCTTTATGGGCTCTCACACTTAGAATCCCTATCCATCCGCCATAATCACCCCAGGGCCAGGTACCAGCCCCTATGCTCAAAGCATACTGAAATTATTAAAACTAGCCTGTTATAAACTTGCTTACCCACTCACCTGTTCCTTCTCATGAAAACCACACATTCCCCACTGTTCCCCTCACTTCCTCTGCCTCCTGATTGGCCCTGGTGCTTCCCCAAGTGGCCCTGTTTCTAAGGAATTGTGAGCAATAAAAACAAAAACTTCTTTCCTGACAGTCATTTCCATGTCTGCATGTCTTACCATACCTGATTAAAATGAAGCCTGTGAGTGAAGTCACTGAGTCGTGTCCGATTCTTTGTGACCCCATGGACTGTAGCCTACCAGGCTCCTCCATCTATGGGATTTTCCAGGCAAGAGTACTGGAGTGGGTTGCCATTTCCTTCTCCAGGAAAATGAAGCCTGGATGCCCTTAAAACATGCTATACTTAGAGGAGGTAAATGGCTTTGCAAATGCACCGTTCACTATTATTCCCTAAAGAAGCTTTCACAAGTTCACCTCAGACACTTCACCCACTAAGCAAAGATGATGTCAGTACTTACCTTATACAACTGCTGACAGACTTGAATGGGATCACAACTAGAAAATACCTGAAGAGCACTCAGGACCTAGTCAGTACTAAGGCAAGCATCTCCAAGGATGTTCAATGCAGATATTAATGATGGAAAATTGGAAACAACTTGAATAAAAGAATGTATAAATGAACTGTGGTACAGTCACACTGAGGAAAAATATATAGCCATTAGGTATAAACTAGATCTCTATATAGGACCATGGAGAGCTCTATGAAGCATTTTAGGTGAAAGGAGCAAATTGTGGGACAAAATAGACAGTAAGAAATAGTTTATAGAAAAACAATACCATAGATTTTCTATCAACTAATGTAAATAAAAAGAAAATGTCTGAAATGATGCACAGAAGACAGTGGTGAGAGCAAATGGAATTGTTGGGGGAGTGATCAAAGAATAATTTTATTCCTATAATTCATATTTTATTTTCATTATTTGCATATAATTTTTGTTAGAAGACTATTATGTAATGCTTATGTAATTAAAATTTAATTTGCAATGCAAAAGAAAAGATAGGATAAAATATAAACATAGAGAGGGAAAAGGTAGAATGAAACTGGGGCTTAAGGACATGAAGTTAACTTTGAGAATACTATGTGCTGATGGTATGTTTTGAAACTAGAGATAATGGAGATTTGTCTACATAGGGCATTCTTTGACTGAAGCTTTTTCTTGGACAGGAGTGAAAAGATGTCCAGCAAAGGTTAACTGCTACACTAGTTTGACATTTTTAAATAGAACAACTATGAGCTCCTCTCCTCATAAAGATTACTGAGATAGTGGCTTCCCCTGTCTCTCTGGATAATTCCTTATTCCACACGATATCCTTAGCAATGGATTGATTGTTTTCCTGTAATAATCATAATAGGCTAAACTGCCATAACCAATAAGCCAAAACAAGGAATGGCTCCAACATAATAGAAGTTCCTTTCTCTTCATAGAATAGTTTAGGGCACTGTCAGTGAGGTAGAAATGCGAGAGTTAGAGAAAACTACTCAGGTCCAGGCAGAAGGTAGCTTTGTCATCTTCAATATAGTTTCCAAGAGATTCTGATCATGCCATTTCAGCTGTCTCATGATTTAAAGATGGTGAGACCCAGCACAATGACACTTGGCCAAATGAAAGGTAGAGTTCTCTGTTACTTACTTAGAGCTCTTAAGGAGAGAATGTTGTTAAGCAGGGCCACACAGGGGGCTGTATCCAGGGACGGAGTAACAGCAAACTGGGTTCTGTGGGGCAACTGATGTATGGGAAATTGTGGGGGCGGGGAGTGAGTTAGCTAGTTTTTATGAACTCCCTGTAGATTGGCTGATTTGAATAGTTTGGTGGGGTGGGAAGGCTCTGGGCATCAGGGTCATCCCTGGTCGTCTGGTACGCGACTCTGGAGCAATAAGGGTGTATGTTTTGTGGTCCCAGAGTGTCAGGGCCCAAC